GCTTTCCCGGTACCATCTGTCCCCCGCCGTGCCCGGTGGTTTCCCGGGAGGTTCCCAAAACTCCATCCCTAGAGCCAAAGCTCCGGGTGTTGCAAAAAAAGGGTTTTTTCCGGGGTCAGGAGAAAGCTGTAAGATCCAACACCAGCCTTGGGGGTTGGCATTTTTGCCTTCCAACAAAAGGGCTCAAAAAGGGGCTGAGCTGCCCGAAATTGCCCCATCTGCCCGAATTTGCCCCGTTCCCCCGCCGTAGCTCGGCAGCAGCCGCCTGCCCCAGTGTGTTCCCCGTCAGGAAGCAGCTGGCTCCCGTCCAGGTGGGACCCTGCCAGCAGTGATGGATGCCCGAGGTGAGCCCTGGGAACGCTGTCACCCCCACCTGCAGTCCCTCCCTGCCCGAGGAGCTGCCCTTATCTCTGTTATTTTCCAGCAGAAATGGCCTTGGCTTTCCCTGCCTGCTCCTCGCTGTTTGGGGCTGGCTGCAGGTGCAGGAGGGATGCTTTGGGAGAGGGGAGGGATGGGGAGAGCTGAGCTCGGAGCTGCCTCTGGATGGGGGGAGGACAGAGGAATGGATCAGCGTTGTGGGGAGGGATGGGAGCTGTTGTGGGTGACGGCTCAGCTGGGCACAGCTCAGTCCTGGCTCTGAAATGGTGTGTTCCCTCCCCAGGTGCTGCCGTGCCACCCTGCTCCTGGCTAACCAGCACCAGTTCTTCAGTGGCAAGCTTTATGTCCTTCTCCAGTAGCTAAAGCTGCCAGTTGAAGAACTGTTGAATGTAGCCACTCTCTTCTCGTCACTGGGACCTTGGATGCCAGCCAGAGCCGTGCCCTGAGCCGCCAGGATGAGCCACTCTGCGTTGGAGGGCTGAGGATGAGTGTGACCAGGATGAAGAAAGACTCCAGACAGAGCCTTGGCTGGAGGATTGTAGGCAGCTGTGCCAAAATGTGTCGTCCCCTCCCTCAGTGGGGTGGCACTGAGCTAGGAGGAGACTGAGAGAAGCATTAAACATTATTTTGCTCAACTGTTGAGTTTTAGGAAGTTTGTTGCCTGGATCAGGAGGGGGCACAGCACCAGATCTGTGTCCCCAGTGATGCCACCCTGGGGTTTCTGATGGAGGGGTCCATCCTTTGGGCTTGTCCTGAGCTAAAGGCTGAGCCCAGGAGAGGGATGAGCCCTGCAGCAGGGCAGGCAGGGGGATGGAGCCCAGGAGAGGGCTGGCTGAGCGGGTCAGGGCGCGGCCACTGGGCCAGGGTGACTCAGGGCGAGTCACACAGAGTCACACACAGCTCTGGACGCTGCTCCCAGAGCCTCCAGCCTGGTGGCACACCCAGCAGTGCCAGGGCTCTGGGTATTCTGGAGCTAGCAGCACTCCAGAACACTTTATTGGGCTCCTCTGTGCTCCAGGCTCTGGTTTGTTGGTGAACACAAGCTCCAGACTGGCCTGGAGGGAGTTTTGAAGCTGCTCTCCCAAGCTGGAGGAGTTTGCCTTGCACTGAGCGAGAGGGGAGCTCCATGAGGGCTCCAGGATTTCCCCCAGTGAGAGAAAGGAGCAGGAGCAGCAGCTCCCTGGGTGACTGGGAGCAGGGGAGTGTCCAGGCCCTGCTGCTCAGAGCCTGCCAGAGGAGCACAGCTCATCCCAGCTCCGAGGGCGGGCACGGAGGAACAGCCCTGTGCTGAAATGTCTGCACAATCTCAACTCCATCTGCCTGCCCAAGGCAGGGCTGCTCCCAAGCTCTGGCACCCAGCAAAGCACACAAAGTGGCCTGGTGTCCATTAAGTGGTACAAGTAGAATAAAATCTGTTGTCCTGGGGTCTATAAAGCTGCTGTGCTTGGTGTGTTCTTGCTGTTGGCTACAAGGAGCTGGGTTTCTTTGGGGTGGTTCTCACCCACAGGGGCTGGGACTGCTGAACACCCTTGGATCAGTTCTCTTCCACCACAGCTGCTCTGCTGCAAGTCCATGCAGAGCAGCTGGCACCTGCTCAGTGCCCAGCACATCCTGGAGTGCATGGAGGGGCAGAAAGTGGTGGTGGAAGGTGCCTGAGGGCAGGGAGGAGCAGCTCCTGGGCCGTGCTCCCCCTCCTCTGATGTGTATGAGCTGTGCGCTCCGTGTGCCTCACAAATCTACAGACCTCCCCTGGCATGAAGGAACACCCTGTGCTGCTGAAACCCGGCTCTTTCCTGGGTAAATTGTGGCTCTTTCAGAGTTGCCCTGAGCACAAGCGCCATACCAGGAAATGTAAAACATTGTGTTTGAGTTAAAATTCTCCTGTGAGGTGCCAAAGGACAGGTTTGGGTGTTCAGCACAAAAGCAGCACTGCAGGATCTCACCTGCTGAGCAGAGGGCCTGGGCTCTGGCTGTCCTGCACTCAAACCAGAGGGGGTTTGGGCTGTCACTGAGTGTCCCTGTGGGAACTTGCCCAGCTCCTGGGACTTACCCTTCCTCCTGCACAGCCCCATGTGACTGGTGAGTAAGTGCAAGGCTTCCTGTAGAAAGCACAGCCTTGGCCGTGCAAAAACCCAGTAACTCTTTCCTCTAGCATCTGGCCGCCCCCTCCAGGCATCCAGCATGCAGGGACACAGCAGGGAGAGCGGGATCTGGGATTTCTCTGCCAGAATGTGACATTGCAGACAGCAGTGACCCTGCCAGCAGGTGCTGCTGGCTCTGAGCTCGGGTGGCATCCCTGTGTCCTTAGGGGCAGGGCATTCTGTGCGAGTTCCTGCACAGAGCCCACCTCGTTCCCTGCTGGGAGAGGAGCAGCTCGTCTCGGTCACAGCTCCCCTCGCTGGGAAAATGTGTTTTTGCAGAGGAGAAGGTCAGCGTGACCGGTGTGCTAAATGAGAGCTCCCTGCCGGCAGGGAAGGAGCTGCTGTGTCTCTGGCTGGTGAATCTGTGCATGAGGGGTGGCTGCTGAGCCCCAGGCCATGGGCACCCTCCTCTTACCCAGCACAGAGCTCTGCTGAGCTTTGCCCAGCACAAGGCTGTCTGCAAGCACAGAATGCAGGTGCTGGGTTCAGCTTTGCTGATGGTTTTATTGCTCCAGGGTGGGAGGGTGTGGAACTGTTGGCACTTGGTTGTGAGTGCCACACACCAAACTCAGCTCTGTGCCAGCGAGGTGATGCTGCCAATGTCACAGGCCCTGCAAACAAGAGGTGGGATGGGGGTTTGCAGTGATTCCTTTTGGTTTTGTGTCTCTCGGTGGGCTCTGCTGATGTGGAACAGCACAGAGCCAGCAGCTGGGTCAGGGTGCCACTCACTCTGCTTCTTCTTTGGAGATTTGTTTCCCCAAGTACAACACTTCTGCAATCAGGGACACCATGGGGTCGCAGTTGAGGCTGGCAGCTGCAGTCACATGGCCATCCCTGGCATGGAAAGAGGAAGAGTGTGGATCTCCTCAGGGCATAGAGCTCAGCATCCCCGTGGCACAGGGAGCAGCTGTGCCCCAGAGGGCTCAGGGCAGGGTGGCTGCTGCTGCAGGATGCACAGGCACTGGTGGCACACAGCCTGGCACTGCTGGGAGCTGGGCACTGAGCCTGGCAGCGCTGGGGCACAGGCAGAGATGTGTCCCAGGCTCTCTGCCCAGCTGGTGTCATCGTTTGAGTTCATTCTCTTCTCCTTCCCTCTGCCCTGCTTTGGTTTTTCTCTGGTTCAGCACCGAGCAGCTGCACAGGGGGATGTGGAGCTTCTGTGGGATCCCTGCAGCTGTAAGAGAGGGCTGTGCCTGTTTCCAGGGCATGGGCTGGCCGTGGGTTCACTCACCTGATGTAAAAGATGAGGAATTTCTGTTGCTCCAGGCTGCCCTTCACCACAGTGTCCGTGTATCCCTTCCCACAGCCTGGGGGAGAGAGCCTGCTCAGGAGCCCTGGCACAGCAGATTGCACCCAAACCACCTCAGAAACAGCGTGGTGGGGACAGAGGGGACAGTGCTGGGGCTGGGACAGGGCTGGGGAGCAGACATGAGGGCCCTGGACAAGCAGAACTGACTTTGAGCCTCTCCTTGGTTTGGAGAGAGAAGTTCTTCCTCTGTGACCCACTGTAGATCAGCAAAGAACGAGAGCTCTGGGTGAACCCCAGGGCTCAAACTCACCATGGCAGCCACTCCGGAGCTTGAGCTGCTCCAGGTGACCTTTACAAGCACCCCCAGAACCAGCTGGTGGAAGGAATTGCTCTGTTCCCCTCTGTGCCCCTCCCTACCTGCATAGCGGATGCTCTTCCCAAGCAAGGTGCTCCAGAAGTAAGGAACAGTGTGCAGCTCCTCCCCTCTGCCCAGCATGTTCAGGGCAGCACAGCGACCTGGGAGCAACCAACACACTCAACATTGCAAATAAAATAAAATAAAATAAAATAAAATTAAATTAAATTAAATAAAATTAAAATAAAATTAAAATAAAATTAAAATAAAATAAAATAAAATAAAATACTGCTCCCCGTGTGCCCTGCTGCCCCTTCTCTGTGCCATTCCCATCTCTGAGGGAGCTGGGAGGTGACAAGTCCTGTGGGGGACAGAATGTAAGAGAATAGTGCAGAAGGAAATCTCACACCTTAGGAGTTGCAGCTGTACAAATCCACCAAAAATAAGAAACAAGCCTGCCCTTAACAGGCCACAGCTGTGTCCAGTGAGGATGAGTGCTAAAAAAGAGTGGGTTAGCTAGGTGAGGAGAGAGATGGAGTTTAAGGAGAAGAAGGAGGAAGAGGAAGAAGAAGAGAAGGAAGAAGAAGAGGAGGAGAAGAAGACAATGACGACGATGACAATGGAGGAAGAGAAGGAGGAGGAAGAGAAGAAGATGACAATGGAGGAGGAAGAAGAGAAGAAGAGGAGGAGAAGAAGAAGAAGAGGAGGAGAAGAAGAAGAAGAGGAGGAGAAGAAGAAGACAACAGAGGAAGAGGAGGAGGAGAAGAAGGAGAAGAAGAAAGAGGAGGAGGAGAAGAAGAAGAAGGAGGAGGAATAGAAGGAATCAGTGCTGTGAGGAGTTGCCCATGAGAAATCACCAAGAAAGTAAAGAAATTTTGCAATAAGATGACAACAATGTCCCTCTCTCACCATGGGCCTCAGCCACCTGCTGGTGGTGGATGCTGGACCTGTCCCCACCCAGCAGTGCCACTGGGAATGTCACCACGTCCCCCGCAGCGAAGACCTTGGGGATGTTGGTTTGCATGTGCTAATTGGGCAGAAGGCAATTAATTAGAGCACTGATGGGAGGGGAGGGATGGGGAGTGAGCTGGGTGCTCAGCTGGCACCCACCAGATCCACCAGGATGGCACCTTTGGCATCTCTGGCAATGGAGGTGCCCTTCAGGAAGGCTGAGCTGGGGATTGAGCCTGTGGGGGAGAGAAGCAGGGGTGAGATGTAGAGAAATTCTGCACAGAAATTTCAGGGAGGAAATTTGGGAATGGGGAGAGCATCCAGCAAGCCCAGGGCTCTCACCTATCCCCACCACCACCACATCTGCAGGGAGCTTCTTTCCATTGGCAAGGACAGCCTCTGTGACCTGGGGAAGAAGGAAAGGTCACTAATAAAGAGTTAAAACCTCTGTCCTAATTCCCACAGCCTCCCTGCTGCTTGGCTCTTTGCTGTCTTTTTCTCTCCCCCGGGTTGGGATCACCTTGTCCAGCTGATGTGTGTTGCTGGGAATGTAAAAGAAAATCACGCTGTTGTCCCTGGGATAGGAACATTTTACTGGTGCCCTTTGAGCCCAGAGCTGTGCTCAGTGAAAAGGAAGGGAGGGTCTAGACATGGGAGAGGAAAGCCTGATGTAGGCACTGGGTTATATCTCAACTTGGGCTTTTTTTTCCCCCTAAAATTAGCAGTTCAGGGATCACAAAGGCAGGACTGACCTTTCCATCCTTTCCTTTCAGCTCACACAGCTCTGTTTTCATGTGGAACTTCACCCCTTTATTTTGCAGCATCTGAAAAGGACTGGTTTGAGTATTCATTAGGAAATTCCAGGCTATAAAAACAGCTGTAGCCAGCCAAAAGCCAGGCAGGCAGCTCTGCTGCTGCTGCTCCAGCCTGCAGGGAGACTCCATTTGTGTCCCTGCCTGTTGCAGGCACACACAGCCTGGCTTTTCTCTGTCAGAGGTGGGTTTGGGGTGAGGAATTGCTGTGGGGAGGGTTGGGAGCAGCCCTGTGTGGGTGAGCACAGAGGCTGGGCATGCAGGGTTGTGACTCAGCACAGGGGCGAGGTTTCCTGGGCTGATGTGGATCCTGTGGATCCTTGGCCCTCTCGTGTGTTCTCCAAGCCAGAAATCAGCCCCAGGTTCTGCTCACCTTCATGGCAACGCCTCCAACCTGAGGACCCAGGGCGTGCTGGTAAGGGAACGGCTCTCTCTCCACCACGGAGATGGTTCCAGCCCTGTCTGAGAGGAAGGCAGCCACCTCCATCCCTGCAGGGAAGAGGCATGCCCGAGGTAAGCCTGCTGCAAGCATCAACCTGCACCCCTGGAACCCTTCTCCCCTTCCAGAGGGCAAATCTGATGTGCTGCCAGTGCTGAGCTGCTTTGCTGTGCATTTCTGAGGTGTTCAGCTCCCCCCTTTCTTTGTTCTCCAGGATTTTGGGAGATGCAAAGAACAGCTCCTGGTATTGTTCCATAAAACTCCCTTTCTGTGCCTTAGCCCCTTGCTTTCCCAGTGCTTCTGGGGAATCCAGCTCCTCTGGAGGACAGTGACCTTTCCACAAGGCACATTTCCCTCTGTCCATGTGTAGCAATTGTTTATAGCTCTCCAAGTTTCTGGCTATCAGAGGAAAAGATGAGTGTGTGCTGTGTAACTCACACCCCCAGCAGCTCCAGGGAGGATCCCAGCCGGGTGAAAAAGGAACATCCCTCCCCTGAGGGCCTCCAGTTAATGTGCACATGAACCAGAAGGGGGTTTGGGGGCTCTCACTGAGGGTTTGACTCCCACTCCAGCCTGGTACCTATGAATGAGGCTCCCACAATCACCAAATTCTTCCCAGTTGCCAGCTCCAGGATCTTGCTGGACTCCTCTGGGGTTTGGAGCGTGCAGATGTTCTGCAGGTCTGCGCCTGGCACTTTGAGGAAACCAGAGCTGGAAGAGAGAGAACCCAGATGCATTCCATGGTGTGAATTAAACAAAGAATGAGGAGGGAGCACAAACCCATGGCTGTGTCACTCCATTCTGCCATCCCACCCCATTTCCTACCTCCACCTCTACATCCCTGCCCAAAATCCAGCACTTTGTGCACTCACTGGCTGCCTGTTGCAATGAGCAGCTGGTGGTACTTCTGAGAGGAGCCATCCATGAAATGAACCTTCTGCTTCTGGAAATCCACAGACACTGCCTGCAGGAGAGAGGGGGCAGGGATCTCACAGGTTCCCCTGTCCTGCCTGTGGTTTTGGGCATTCAGGGGAGATATGAGGGGTGCTGGTGTTCTCTCTCCCACTTCCCACAGCTCCATCCATGGATGTTTAACCCTCCCCATAAGGACTGAACTGCTCTGGTACCTCTTTCTCTGTCCAGAACTCAATACCCCGAGCTTGGAGGAATTCAGGTTTCCTCAGGTAGATATCCTCAGCTTTCAAGTCCATTTCCTGGAAACACAACAAAAGTATGAAATGAAGCATTTCTTAGAGGCAGCAATTCTCCTGAAGTGTTCCTTGTGGAGTCAGTTTGGAAAAGAGGTGAATTTTACATCAGTGAATCACAGCTCCCCACACTGCCCCATCCCCATCACCTTGTGACCTCAGAAAAACCATCAAACTTTTAAGGGAAGAGTTCAACAAAAGGAGATAAAAACATCAGCTCATGTTGACTCTGCTCAGAGATTTTCTGGGAGGAAAATGAAGCTTTCCTGGAAATAACACCCCTATTTGTGGGGGGATAGAATATAAGAAAATAAAGACGGTGTAGAAAGTAATCTCACCCCTAAGGAGTTGCAGCTGGGCCAATTTTCAAAGATTAGGAACAGGCCTGACTTTAACAGGGCTACAGATGTGACCAGTGAGAAGCAGATGCTATAAAAGAGTGGGGTGGGTGGTGGAGAAGGGAAATGGAGTCAGTTGGGTGCTTTGTGAAGAAGCAAGAGTCAGTGCTTGGAGGAGAAACACCAAGAAAATGTGAAACTTTTGTGATAAGGAGACAACAGCATGGAACCCCTGCAATAAGATGGCAACACCTATTCCTTCTGGATGCCTCAGCACTCCTGATTTGCTCCCTGAGTGTGTCCTGTGCCCTGGCACAGTGCTGCCCTTGTCACATTGCTGAGCATTGTCACCTTGCTCAGCTTGGATTTGTCATAGGGAACGTGCTTCTCCTTAGTGGCCATGATGATCCTGCCAGTGAACCCCTCCTGGCGAAGAGTCTCTGCACACACCAGGGCAGCCACACCTGCAGGAGAGCTCACCTCAGCCCTCTGACACCTCGCTGAGGAGGAGGAGGAGGAGGTCGGTGCTCCCTGGAGAGGAGAGCAGCAGCTCCCAGCGTGTGTGGAGGGGGCAGAGCTCGGATCTCAGATCCCTTCACTGACCTCCCCCCAGCAGCAGCATCGTGTTCTTGTTGAGGAGGCACCTCCTGCTTGTGTCCTTCACCCTCTGGCTGCTTTCCAGGTCCTGCAAAAAAAAAAAAAAAAAAAAAAAAAAAAAAAAAAAGAAAAATGCTCAAGTCACACGCAGCCCAAGGCACTGCCTGTGCTCAGTGACTGCAGGTAGGGTCAGTACCTTCCTTTTTGCTGTAATGAACACCTTTCCATCTTCCACTGTTACCTAAGGGAGAGGTTTGTTAAGTGCTGCATCCATGAGGTTGTGGTGGGAGCTGTCCTGGAGATCCTGGTCCAGTGTGCCATCTGCCTCTGCTCTGATCTTGGGTGTCACATGAGGAGCTGAGGAGCTCATGAGCTTTTCTCCTCATCCTAAGAGCACTGAGGAAGAGCTGTAAATCCTCTTTTTCTTTCCAAAAGCACTTGTGCTGGCTCTGAGGACTACTGGGATCTGTGGCATCACCTTGGACTGAAAGGAGCTTTAGGGCAGGGAGTTGCCTAATCCCAAAATCATCCCTTGTGTGGAAGCTCTGAGTGACAGAGCTGTGCTCAGGGCAGGGGGCTAGGGAGAGAGAATGAATGTGAGACCAAGAATTCACCTTAAAGCTGGGGATGCAGTCCAGAGCAGGATATTCCTCAATGTCTCCAGTCCTGATGTTAAAGCAGGCCCCATGCCAGGGGCAGCGCAGCCTCTCCCCTCTCAAAACCCCTGCAAGAGACCCCCCCCAAGCTGGGCAGTGAGAACCAACCTCCCCAAGGTGGTTTTATTCCCCCCTGCCCCAAGCTTGGGGTTACCTTTGCTCAGTGGGGCACCGAAGTGGGGACATTTGCTGCCCAGAGCTCGGAATTCCCTCCTGTTCCTCACCAGCAGCACTGGGTACCCGGCCACCGTCACCTCCAGGAGCCTGGGGAAGAGGAGCAGAGGTGGGCACAGAACCCCCCCGGTCCCCAGCACCCCCCCAGGCACTCACTGTCCGTCCCCAACGTCGTCCTCCCTGCAGACCTCCTCAGTGATGGTGTCACTGCTCTCCATGCTGGGCTCAGGCAGGCGCTCAGAGGGTCCCAAATTTCTGATGGAGCACCAAAATTACCTCAAACACCCCTCTTGTAACTCTCTGTCCAAACCCAGCACCCTTTTCTCCTCTGAATTAACCCATTTCTCATTTCCAGCACCATTAGACTCAGCTGCAGCGCTGGGTGAGTGAGCAGATGTGGTAATGGCTCATGTAAACAAATATAATTATTTATGGGGAGCTGCTGCCACAGCCCGTGTCTCCCTCAAATTGGGTCTAAAGAGATGCTTCAGCCTCCCCAAAGCCACTCCAACATTTGTGCAGAGATGTTATTCATGGGAATTGCCCTGAAAGCACTAATCCCATCCCAAAATGCCTCCTGGGCTAGAAAACAGCCAACCCCCTTGGTCCTCAGTGCTCTCCTTGCCTTAGCAGTCATTGAGAGGCTGATTAGGAATCTTTCTTTTTATTTTACAGAGAAAAAAAAGCAAGAAATGGAGCAGGGGAAGATCATTTAAGGCAGATTTTGATGCAGGGTGGTGACTTGCTCCTACAAACCCCCCCTGCATCACTCCCCTCATCCCAGGTTTTTTGGGAGAAGCATCTCTGGGTACTCACCTGGTCCTGCCAGGGGGGTTCAGGCACCTGTCCCCAGGTCAGAGAGCCACCACCGCTGCTGCCTGTGACTTTCTCCTGCGAGGTGACACCCTGGTGTCTCACAGAGCTGCCAGCCCACGGCTGGTGATGCTCTCCCCTCCTTGCACAACGCTCCCACCCATCAGGAGATGCAGCTCCTGGCAGAGGCTGCCTGCCAGGCAGCGTTATCTGATTTCTGCAACTGGCCCGGGCCTCATTAAAGGTATTTTGCTGGGGTTTAGAGTTGCAAAAGAATCGAGGGCACACAGGAATTATGGCACAGGTGTGGTGTGAAGATGGGGTGTGTCATGGGCAGCGTGACCAGAAACTCAAGGGGGTTCCGTGATATCCCAGGGTCCCTTCCCACTGCCCCTTTTCCTGGTGGAAAGCACTCCAACTCAACACAACATATTATTGCAGCATTTTGGAATGATATTGCTACTTTTTATATATTTTAACAACACTTAAAATTCTTTAATTTTATTTTTTTGGTAGGGTTTTTCTCCATTGATTTTAAGGAACATGAAGTTTCTAGCAGCTCTGCATGTGCCTTGCATCCCAGCTCTGCTCCTGGTTCAGCCAGTGGTGTCCAGGCACACAATTCCATCATCCCCTGGCCCGTGAAGGATGCCTTGGAGCAGGGTGCTTCTTGCAGGGCTATTTTTATAACAAAGTGGGAGTTGCAAAAAACCGGGAGTAACACCTACACTGTTTGTGTCTCCTCTTGTGTTCTTATCTCTATTTCACAGTCAGTATGTTTCACAACTTAAAATATGCCTCAAAAAATTAAAGGGGGGGGGGGGAAGTTACCAACAGCGCGTTTCCATCATCTCCCTTGCAGAACAGGAGATCTGCAGCAGGGGGGATAAAAATCCTCTGGTGGGTATCACCTGCAGGAGAAGGCATGTGCAGGATGCTGGGGAAGTGCAGGATGGGTTATTTGGGAAGCAGTAAGATTCATGGGACCCTCCAAGCCATGAGCAGGGTACCAGGACCCCGCTGTGCCCAGCCCACAGGCTCTGCACACCCACAATGGCCACAGGAATGAGGGATTTTCTCACAGCAGCAATGAGCAGCTTCTGGGCTCTGCCCTCCTGGCCAGGAGCCGGAATGTGAAGCAATTTGGCTGCCAAATGTCCGTATTTAAACTCTGTGTAATTATTCCCCAAGAGCGTGTTCCCACGTGGAGGAGCAGCAGCCCTCGCCGGGCATTCTCTGACTCAGCAGAAACGGCTGGAAAAGCGTTTGCTCACTGATGGAAATGTGCAGAGAGCCGGCAAAGAGGTGTGCAGCCTTGGGATGAGGCAGGTGGAGCTTGATCCTGTGCAGGGATGTTTGCACTGCAAGGCTGAGCAGCAGATTTGGCTGTTGGATGCTGCTGGATGCAGCTGAGCGCCCAGGAAAGGGTTTTGGAAAGGGCAAAGGAAAGGGCAAACCAAAATGCTTTGACAGAGGCAAAGATGATAGAATGGATATTAGAAAGGTGATAGACAGAGGATACAAAGTGGAAAAGGGCTTTGGATGTCAGGGGGAAGCTGGGGGCTGGCTGCAGGGATGTGAGTGTGTGTCAGGAACACACAACGTGCCCTCGAGGGACTGGGATGGGACTGGAGGCAGCTTTTCAGGAAGATGCTCTGTAAACATCTTTTGGCCTTTTTTACGTAAACCAGAGGTGGTTACTCAGAGGGTTTTAGACCTTTTCTTGTAGCACAAGTCAGGATTAAACATAGGAAGGAAGAGAGGAAAGGGAAGTGGTGCCCTCAACCACAAAGAGAGCCCAGGTGGGCACCAGACATCTCTGAGCAGATCTGCCACCCACATTGTGCTGACTCACACGAGCTGCTGAGCTGACCTTGGGTTTTCTTAGACACCTTCCCTTCTGC